CCGCATACTATCTCCCCCACCATCACCGAGGGCATCAAGCAAACTCATTCCTCATCACCTGCTCCCTCCAAACGATACCTCCCTCTTTCTTAACCACTTGTACCATTTAAAATCATTCTGCACAGGTCTTTGCTGGATTGCTATTTATTTATTTTCTTTTAAGAATCTTGTAATTTGCAAGCAAACTAACCCTGACCTAGTTGGGGAGCCCTCTTAGCATACAGGATATACTACAGATTTTGAAGAGCTGGCTGTGCTAGTCTGCTTCATTATACATAATAAAAATTAAAACAAATCTATTGTGATGTTTTAAAGATTTACTTCAGTATATGATTCCTTGGTTTCAATCTACGCACAGATGTACTGACAAGTGTACATTGGGGATACGGGAACCTATAGAATTACACAAGACTATACTGATCAAAATTAGGAAAGCTTAAAAAATTGCATTCTGAATAATGGATAGAATTTTTAATAATGGTACTCTGGTATAGGAGTACAAAACCTGAAGAAAATCCACAATTCCTTTAAAGTATATAAAAGATAACGAAAATAACAAGTGTAGTTAAAAAAATTGACAATACTCATAACTGATTGATGGCCATCATTTTCCAACACCCAATGTCAAGGGTAACTCATAGTATGGAGTGAATACATTGAAGACCTATCTGAAGATGGCAGGTAAGCAAAGTCCATTATACCAGGTGTGAATACTGGACTAAAACTACAGAAATTTAAAATCCAGAATGCAATAAAGCAAACAAAAATGCCAAAGCTCTTGGACTGAATAATATTTATACAGAAATAGTAAAGTAACAGAAGATAATGACTTACACGTTTAGTGAAGATTTCAATCAAATCTACAGAAGAGGAATCATTCCTGAAATGTGGTTGTGATCACCCTTTATTACACCAATCACAAAGGAAAATGCCCAGGTTTGCAGTTACTACTGCACATTTAATTTAATGAGCTATTTCCTTAAGGTTTTCTTAAAGATAATAACAATCAGATTTTACAGGAAACACAAAGTTGGGGCAGAAGGCATACACTTCAGATTCAAAGGAAGATTTTTTTAACAGGGGAAGCACTATTCTGTATATTATTCTGGATTTGAGGAGAGAAGTCATTACATGAATGTGGGTATGCATACTTGCTTTACTGACTACACAAAAGCTTTGACACAGCCCCGTGAGCAAGCTGATACGACTGCTGAGAAACAAAGGAACTGATATGAGAAATAGTTATGTAGCTGGCTGGGTTACTCAGTAAGCCAGAGGTTGAGGGTTCAATTCACTACTGTACATCCCAGGAGAAGATCCAGTCTGTGTGGCCTTGGGCCAGCTGCACAGTCCCAAGGTGCCCTCAGAAGAAGGGAATGGTAAACCAATTTTGGGAACTCTTTATCTAGAACCCCCCCCCAAAAGTCACTATAGTCAGAATTGACTTGACCACACATGATGATTATTAATTGACAACCTGTACTGGCAACAAAAAGCTCCAGAGAGAAATGAAGACTAGAAGACAAAGAGGTTCAAACTGAGGTACAAGGGTGTATACACTTTCAACTGCTTTTCAATACATTTTAAGAGTTAATACTTGCTGATCAGATTACGATTATTGTTAAGCAAGAGACATCAACAGTATCTGATATGAAAACAACACAGTTACTGACTGGCATTTATGCAGTCTGTATAGGTTACTCGGTCATGCCTGTGAAGTAATAAACATGATCTAAAATGGATGTTAAGAAGATGAAGTTCATGGCAGTCAGTAAAATGAAAGGAGCCCAAGAAAAGCAGTTAAAAATCCAGAATAAAGATGTGAAGCATATTGACAAATAAAAAGTCCTTGGAATCTGGCTGAACGAACAGCTGGAGCATAGCCATGTAACAAAAGTCAAAATAGAGAACTCTCAGAGTTGCTTCCTTATTATGAAGAATACAATACAGAATGCAAGCTGAAATTTGGTTTTGAGAATAAGCATTGCACAATAATATATCTTCTCAGTTCTCCTGTAGGACATGGAATCATGGACTCTAAACCAGTTTGCTATATGAAGAAGTACTAGAAGCACTATGATGACAAAAAAGTCATTAAAAACACAAAACGTGGAAAGCTAGCATACTAGTCAAGTCATGACCAATTTACAGGAACTCTGATGGTGCTTTCAAGGTACAGTAAGTGAAATATTTAAAGAAAGATTTTATCAGTTCTAATTCCCAACAAGTGAGTGGGTGGGGATTCAAACTTGGTCTCCAGAATCTTAGTCCTTCACTTTCTCCACAGCACCACATTGCACTGCACTTGGGTAGAGAATACCAGCCAGAAACAAAATTTATACATCTTTACAACTGTTTGTCCAAGGCAAAATACTGAGAAAAGAAGGAAAAGAATTTATTGGCTGAAGAACTCTGGAGCCTGACTTGGATACAACATCCCATCATTGTTTGCAGCTGCAACATCCAAGGTCAAAATAACTATATCAAACTCTGATAGAAGAGGTAGAAAAAGTAGCAGTACCCATTTCACCAAGAACATAGCACAAAGGTTGATAAAGATAAACGGAATGAAAAGACAAAGATCTGCAGATTCAGTAATCTAAGTACTGTATGTATTTCATTCCACCTTTTCACTCGCATAAAGTGGTTTTGCTATTGTGCAAAACTTGTTTAACTGCTGGCAAGAGGGGGGACAAACAAAACATGGTGCACGTATCAGAGGAAGCATTCCCCCCACTCATTCCAAATATCTTAACAGATATTGTCCTGGTTCATACATAAAGCTAAGCCAAAAAGAACTCAGACTTCCATTTTCAACAACAGTTTCTTGCAGGGTGGATAAAAATCAATGATTTATTTTTTAAAATATATCAATTTAAATCAGAATTTAAATAACGATTTAATTTTTTTTTTTAAAAAATGATTGTTTTACAGTATTTAAATAATCAAAAATCCCTTTTTAAAAACGTAAATCATGATTTAAATCAATTTGATTTGAGTCAAATCTACCTTGGTTCTTGCTATTTTCAAACCAGAAACTGTTATTAATGCTATGTCCTGGTGACACAAACCAAGGATCTGCCTTGTTTCACTAAACTGTAGTCAATGTGAACTAGCTACAGATTCAGCCATAACATGAAACCAAGATTAACTGAAAACAGAAATGACGCTTCCAGTCCCCTTCTATTGGCCAAACCAGAGAAAAAGATGGGTTGGAGCAGCAAATGAGCCCAACACATTGTGTGTATGATGCGAAACTATAGCTTTATAGTTCTTATTCTACTTGTATGAAAAAATATATAATATTCTTAATGATCACCCTGATATACATGACAAACAGTTTGAAAATATTTGAATCAGCAAACAACCTATATTTGAGTATATTTGCCCTTGTTCTCAATAGACACCAAGTTGTCTTGCAATCTGCAGCCCATTTGCTTCCAAGTTAACTCAGGCTGAACACAATGGGGACAACTCTTTGATAGCTTTGTGCTTAGAATTGCAGCTTTAAATAATAATCTGTGTGTCATCAAGCCAATTCTGACTTATGGTGCAGCTTTAAGTGTGCAAAGGTGTTACAGTGTCCCTTGTGTTTAAGGTCATCTTGTACTGTCTTGCCTCCCACTGACCAATATCCGAGTCACATGATGAGTATGTTCTACTTGCAATGGGCACACCATGCCTTGGAGCGGCACACAGGTAGGGCAACAGTTTCTGCTCCTAATTAAGAAATGCTCGCACTGAAAACCACACCTAGAACAAACAGATTTCAACTGATTACAGATACTGTTTCACAGCAGCATAGGATAGAACACTGTAACAAGTGTACGTTTCAACACAGACGCAAACATTCATCTAGCTCAGGTCACGTGCTGTTGATCAGACATAGAAAGGACTAAACCAGTGACCTGCAACCTCTTGAGTTCAAATCTGAAAACTGGATCACCAGGTGGTGTGCGAAAACAGATGCTGATATTTATGGTCTGGAAACCTGCCAAGAACTCTGCTATGATAGAAAAAACAGGATATCTTCAGTGAGCAGATCAGAGGACACTCCTGGGATGTCCTCCATAAACAGATCACTTTTTGAAAGGAAAACTATTCTACTTCACCGAATACAGCTAACACTACTTCCCAGGGTCATAGAAACATCTTTATTTGGGTTCCACATAAAAATGCTATGGATCTAATCTACCAGCATTGTTAGCATTTTTGTACACCGTGTCCATGAAAGACTTAATCTTGCACACAAGGAAATGAGCTGCACTGAGATAAGAGAACCCCGCATACACTCAGAGGTACTTACTTTCCTGTTATTCCACCACACAGTCCAAGGCCCAAAGTTAATTTAGAGGCAGGGAAGCCACCATCACACCTTTCTCTAGGACCACAGTCTGTCCAAGTAACACACCATGAACCCCAAACACCACACAACTGCCCAAGAAGCATGAACACCAGGGCTAACATGGCCATGAATTTGAACTGCATGCTTGGCATGCTATGAAAAGGCTGCATCCCGGGCTCTTCCAAAGCCTTGCTTCCTTCACCACCGCCCTGTGACTGTCGGGTCAGGCAAAGGGCCTCTTTTTTTGCTGCCAATACCTATCCTCAGGGTACCTGCAGAGGGCAACACGGCTTAAGCTCTTCCTAATGGAGGAGAAGGAGAGGGGCCCAAAACCTGATGACCTCCCCAAGTCCTCTGCTGCTCTCCAGCCTAAGCTCTGCCACGCCTGACACTCCCCTTGGCAGAGCATGGCAACGCGCTTGGCACGCGGAAAGAGCCCAGGTCCAATCCCAGGGAAGGATCGCAGGGTGCGGGGCTGGGAAATCCCTTTGCGCTCTCTCTCTCTCGCTCTCTCTCTCTCTCTCTCTCTCACACACACACACACACACACACCCACACACACCCTCCTGAGCCCGTTGCCGATCCCCGCCGTCAATGCATCTCTGGAAAGGCAGATCTCCCTTTCCTGACGTGCACGAAGGGAGAGACACTTTACCTTGCTCACGATATTCTGTCGAAGGCCGGCGGTGATGCGGTGGTACCTCTCGCGACAGTCGCAATAGCTCTGGTTCTTTGCCTCCGGCGTGGGCAGTTCGGGGGCTGCCAGCATGCCCCTGCTATAGCTGCTACTGCCGCCGCCGCCGACGGTGTGGTTGCCACCCGGGTTGTAAGTGGGGCCGGTGGCGAGTCCCCTGGCCGGCAAAGGAGGGTGCCCTCCGGTCCAGTTGCCCTGCCCATCCGTACCCTTGCACCACGAGAGCGGCTGGACCAAGAGGAAGCTGTCCGAGAACTGGCTGAAGCCGATGAAAAGGGCCGGGATCCAGGTGAGGAGGATGAGGGTTTTCTGGTGCCCGCCGCCCAGACCCCCCAGAAGAGGCAGCACCGAGCCATCGTAATCCAGGAGCACAGGGCTGCACGACCCCGAGGGAGCAGGCGGCGGCGGCGGTGGCGGCGAGGCGGCCACCGGCAAGCTCTGGATCTCCGCCGCCAGAACCCCGGCAGGAAGGGCGGCATCGGCGTT